CTCTCCATCCTTCTGAGTATGCTCGGCGTGCCATCTCATCCCTCCAGCAGTCTCCTCAGATTGGTACAACCTTTTCAATCTGTCTGTGATTGGTAGGTACCACATCCTTTGGTACGGTACCCTATTGCGCCCTCGACCTTGCGGTTTGAATCGTGGCTTCTTACAAAATCGACATTCTTCTAACTTCTCATCATCTCCCAAGTAAATCATGCAGTTGTCGATGCAAACGTCTATCATCTCCGAGGGCAACCCAAGACTATATACCAATTTCTGAATCTGATAATAAGATTCAGCAGACACATTGTCTTCTGGCAAATACTCTTTAAACAAGTCTGCCCATGCATCCATACAATTTTCAGGTAGATTGTGATCGGTTTTAATACTCATCATTCTAGCAGCNACACCACCATCATCATATCTTCTCGGAGCTCGCTTCCTTGTACGTACTTTCGGTGCAAAGTAGTAGGAAGTGAAATGTGATGTTTCTTCCGTCAAACTTCCTGCAACAATAGAACCTTCAACTCTTGCTAGGTTTTTCGCTTTTCCTTTCAAAGTTTTCATGGCCCTTTCATACTGATACATCCATCCATAATGCACGGATCCACGAAGTAATGCCTCATACGGGAGGTGGACAACTAGGTGTTCCATGACGTCGAAAAAGGTTGGCGGGAATATTTTCTCCAAGTTGCAGATTAAGACGGGGATGTTTTCATGAAGTTGTTGGACAACTTCGACTTTAAGAGTGCGGGTGCTTAGATCCCTAAAAAATGCTCTAATTTCTATATATTTACAAAAACAAACATTATCCACATTAGTATATATATATATATATGTATAATCATATCATCGTATTAAATTAATTAATTACCTGAAAGTGCTTCATGTACTTTTGCCGGTAGTAGCTCCGCAAACGCAAAGGGAAGTAGTCGCTGCATGAAGACATGACAATCATGACTCTTCATCCCGGAGAACTTTTGCCCTTTCTCAACACATCTTGAGAGATTTGAAACATATCCATCAGGAAACTTCACTTCTGAAGCCACCCAGTTGAACAACGCAGACTTTTTTTCTGATGACAGTCTGAATATTGGAACTGGAACTTGCCCATTGCTTTTTATATGCAGCTCACTCCTTGAGCAGATATCGAGTAAGTCTAACCTCGATTTTACGTTGTCTTTCGTCTTCCCTGGGACGTTCAATATAGTGTTCATGATGTTCTCAAAAAAGTTCTTCTCTATATGCATCACATCGAGGTTGTGGCGCAAAAGAAGATCTTTCCAATATGGCAATTCCCAAAATATACTCTTTTTGTGCCAATTGTACTGAACACCATAAAAATCAGGCATATTACTGGGAACATGCCAATTCCCACCACGAGGAGCTGTTTCTAGAGCATAGTAGTAATCGATTTGCGCTTCGATTTGTTCTCCAGTTAAATATGGAGGAGGAGTGTCTCTGACAACCCTTTTGTGCCTGAACAATTTCTTGTTTCTGCGGTATGGGTGGTGGATGGGAAGAAAT